CCCTATTTCCCCCGCTCTTTCTCTCACAGAGCTGGCAGCGCCGTAACCGCGCGCGGGAGTAGTCGCCCCTATTTCCCAACCACCACCACCACCACCACCACCGCACCGTATCGATCCGGCCCATCGAGTTTGCGTCACTACCCACATAATGCTCAGTCCGTCCTTGCCACTAACCCTTTGAGGACGCCAGTCGGTCACTTCTCGCCACTCGGTGCTGGCCAGAGCACGGGGCTGAGCGGGAGAGAGTTAAAAAGGGGAAAACTCGCACCGGATTTTCTTCCGGGCGACTTTCTCAGGGTCAACGTGAGGTCAAATTTTGATGCTCAAATCTTCAGGAATTTTCCCCTTTGTGTGGTATTTTTTTCTGGACACTTACAACTGCGCTGTTGTTCTCAAGAGGTAGGTAAGTTTCAAAGGCACCCGTCTATATCAAGAACGAATTTCATTATTTAGCATTGGATTTTTATTTCAATTATGTTTTAGATTTTCGACGTGGATTCATCAAGCCCAACGGATAAGGTGGAGAGAACCACTTTCGGTTTTGTCGCTAGTTAAGAGCATGTGATTGGTCGCCTGAAAGCCGATGGGCGGAGCTAACCTGCTCGTCAGGCATGCCTACTTTTTCTTATTGCGCCTTGCCTTAAACATTTGTTGCTCTATGACATAAAGGCAGTAACATAATAGATAAAATTGTGCATCATGAAGTGCAAGATCTGAAACAGGCATATCAGCAGTTATGGTTTGCAGTTCATACCTTCTATCAGATGCTTGAAAATAGATCTCTTACTGTCCTCGTCTTTCACCTTCAGCCATTTGTTCAAGTTCTCTAAATACGTTGTTCTTGGCCATACCCCTGCATTTTTATAGAATAGTTACCGACCCATTTTTTAAATCTGAGTAATGGTTCAGCTTATGTCGTTACCAACGCTTGAACTCTCTGTCTTGTTGGATTGCAACAGTACACTATATCATCTACATTACTTATAGCTGTATCTGGTAGGCAGCAGTTCCAGGAAGAAATCTGAAGGACTCTCCACCGACAGTATTCAGCTGGGTGTGGGCGCATTCTTAATGTACACATTATAGACAGTCCTCTTCAAAATGAAAAAAAAACCCCAAGACAAAACAAACAGCAGAAGT